AATAATAAACATAAAAAAGAACTAACAAACAAACATTTTTTATTAAGGAAAATAAATAAATAATAAATAAATAAATACAAATGCAAATAACAAGCCTTACAAAACAATTATGTTATTATATAAAATAAAAAAATCTTTACCAAGATGTCAAGGCACGTATATCCTTATGCTTACAAATAATGATAATAATAAATATTGCCTTACTTCTCCACTGCATTTTTAAAGCTGAGAATCTGATCCGTTCCCATTGCAGAAACCACAACGACCAAGACATCTTTTCCTGCTTCAAACTGTTCCTTTATCTGCGCGGCCAATTCCGCGTTCGGAGGCATATCCAGGTTGTCGCGTGTTTCCCCCTCATCGTCCATCAGAGAAAGATGAGCAGGCTTGCTAGGATCCTCGCGATCCTCTTCAATATCCAACACACTGTAGGTGTTCGTCTTCACAAAGGGAACCTCCACATTATGGGTACTCGGAGCCTGGTCCTCCATCTTGTTACCAGTAAAAATGTCTGTGGCAACAATGCTAACCTTGGCATGACCATGCTTACCCGTCTTCGACACAGAAAGGTCAATCACCTTGCATGGACGGCCATTAATACAAATGTAACCTCCCTTCTTGAGAGCGCCAGCCTGCATTGGATAAGTCAAGGATCCGGTCTGGGCCTCTCCCTGGTGGGCAAAGCTCCCCTCATCATCAGACATGGCTGTGCACAGAAAATAATAAGGCTATTAAACAACAACAAAAGGAACAAAACAAAACAGAATAATAAACATAAAAAAGAACCAACAAACAAACATTTTTTATTAAGGAAAAATAAATAAATAATAAATAAATAAATACAAATGCAAATAACAAGCCTTACAAAACAATTATGTTATTATATAAAATAAAAAAATCTTTACCAAGATGTCAAGGCACGTATATCCTTATGCTTACAAATAATGATAATAATAAATATTGCCTTACTTCTCCACTGCATTTTTAAAGCTGAGAATCTGATCCGTTCCCATTGCAGAAACCACAACGACCAAGACATCTTTTCCTGCTTCAAACTGTTCCTTTATCTGCGCGGCCAATTCCGCGTTCGGAGGCATATCCAGGTTGTCGCGTGTTTCCCCCTCATCGTCCATCAGAGAAAGATGAGCAGGCTTGCTAGGATCCTCGCGATCCTCTTCAATGTCCAGCACACTGTAGGTGTTCGTCTTCACAAAGGGAACCTCCAC